CACATTCGATAGGATAGTATTTAACCTACCTGATGATTGCTTACCCGGAAGTCTCCTCTGGGATTGGAGTCCGAGTCCAGTACTAGATATGATGAGACGATGATCCGTCCAGACATCGGCATCACAGACCGCCTTTCCCACTAGCACGTCTTAGCGGCCTTGTTTCCCGGACAACACGCAGTCCAACAGGGGCCAGCGCCGCGATCGAAGATGCATCCACGTTGCCTTCTTCCGTTTGGGAAAGCGGAAGAAGGTGCTGGTGAGGAGGAGAAGGAGGAGGGAGGCAACGTGGATGCATCTTCGCTCGCGGCGCTGGCCCCTGTTGGACTGCGTGTTGTCCGGAAACGAGGCCGCTAAGACGTGCTAGTGGGAAAGGCGGTCTTTGATGCCGATGTCTGGACGGATCACCGGAGGAGGCGGCAACGGCGGCGATGGCGGTGTTCTGCGTGAGTTCATAGGAGGAGGCCGTTATCGTTACGATCGCCGACTCCGTGAGGATCGAGCACTCGGACAGAATGGCCTGTGCTGACGCGGACTAATCAGTCTGTCCTCGTGCACAGTCGCCAGGAGGACGGGCAAGTCTTCATAGGATTGTCCTTTACCCCGTCTGGGCTGGTCATTGGGGAGGGCGATGGGACGAAGGCGCTGGCAACGGTGGTGAATCTGGTTTCCCGAATAGGCGGTCGTAAGGTCATTAAACAGTCAGACAGGACGGTCGTCCCACAATGTCTTTCCCGGTGACAAAGGCGGCGCCAGCATCACGTGGCTCAATGTTTGGGCGGTTGCCTCAGAAGGCGTAACCGGTACTTACCTCTGGCTGACTTTGTGCAGAGCAGCGGGTCTTGCTGAGAGCTGCGATACTCACCTTGTAGCCCGTCAATTCTCCGGTGACCGACATCGTTCTTTTCGATCGCTTGCTTGACGGATCGCTGAATTGGAAACACATATTCCAAGCTATCAGAGTTAACAGAGTTATTAGCAGCCCGTGGGCGGGCTGGGAGGATGGGTACGGGAAGTTTGGTTCCGTGGTGTGTTTCGACCGTGTATTATGCCTCCATAAACCACGGTCGTTCGGTAGACGTCGTGATTCCCCAGCACTCGTTAAGGGTGTTCTTTCTAATCCCTTCCATCGCGAGCAAGTAAGCAGTGCTACCCGTAAATAGAGCTGCCTAGTCATCTCAGGTGACCGCCGAATTCCATATGGGTCACGACTTTTGCCTAGTGGGAAGACTACCCGAGTTTGCCGGGGCCGTCTGCGGGATCGTTTCCGCTCACCTACGGGACTTTATTGTTTTCTGGGAAAGTAGGGCGGGACAACAGGGCTACTGGGCAAACACAAGCCCACGTGCCGGGTACCCTCAGTCGAGGGTTCCGGGGTTTGGCCGGTAGAGAGAGAGAGAGA